TCGTTACTAAGGCAAGGTTGTCGACGAGCCATAGTACTACAACTCATCGTGCTGCCGTGCCGTGCATGTTTTTTTTTTGTATGATGCCGATTTTAAAAAGTAGGAACTATGTTGGTTACTTATTGTTCTTTTTTGAGCTTAATTAGTGAAACTATTTTCAAGCTTATTTTCATGCTTACAAAGACTTCACGGACTTTACAAAGACTTTGACAGCACGGATGGCGCAGTGGTTTAAGCGGCCGCCACGCCGCTTCCTACTGCGTTGAGTGTTGTGGGTTCAAACCCCACATGGGACGACACTTTGTGTGATCCACAAATTGTTGTTCTAAGTCTGGGTGTTCTTTGTGTCCGTTTCATGTATGTTTGTAAAGTCCCCCGCGACACAGGATATATTCCTAATGCGGGAGTTGTCTTTTTAAAAAAAAAAGAACAAAAGAACTTCTAATTCTATGTGAACTGTAATTCTATAGAAAACTGGCTATACCTTGCCACGCTGGGCTGTGGAACATTGAAATTGCTTGAATGAGAAACAAAACTAACAAAAAATGTACATAAAAACAATCCTTGAAACGGATTGTATATCGTGTCAAAATTTGAGCTCAATCGGTGAAGAACAGTTTGAGTTTTTGAAGCGTACACAAACTAAAATAACATTTTTATAAAAATAGATGATAGCTATTAATGTCACTGTGTCAGATCATCAATCACAGTCGACATAGTAACACCAGTGCGCGTAGATTATAATTTATTCATTTAAAATGACGGTCTGTAATTTTAATCATTTGACAAGTTTGACATACGCTCTGAAAAAGTAAATGCAACATCGAACTATCTGTATCTCCACGCTTTTCTATACAAATGCTGATATCAGAATATATTAATAAATAAATTGTGTGTTTTAATTGCAAAATAGTAATATTTTAAATATAATCATGATACCGAACGTAGTTTGGTTACATAAATAAATACACGCATATGTCCCTGAATTTATGACTAATTTTTGTTTGTTTTTGTTACAGGTAAATAAACTTCGTTACGTATACACCTGAGATCTCGCCTTTAAAGTAATGTATGACATTAGATGCATTAATTTCTGTAACATATGTGGATACATACATAGAAATCTGTCTGTCTGTTTGTTCCGGGTAGTCTTCTACACGGCTGGACCGATTTTGATAATATTTTACTACCAGGTAGTTATCTATATAAGGAGTAACTTTAAATTGTTAGTAGTACTTGTAAATTTTTAGTTTTTTTTTTCCTTTACACTAAGGCAGCGTCTTTCAAATTCCAAGCGAATGAAGTCGCGTATAACAGCCAGTATTAAATAAAAGATAAAAATATTCAAACTGTCAAAATATTATATTAAAAATAATGTGTAATGTATTCTATCTCATTCTCTCGCCGACTAATTCCTATACATTTATGTGTTTGTTTCTTTATCATTACGCATTTTCGTTTCATCGAGTTTTAAATCACAACGATTCTAAAGAAGATTATAAATTCCAAACAAAAGTTTATCAAAAGGGGTTATACTTACTACTACATACCCATACAATGTTATGCGCATATGTGTGTGTGTATGTGATGTTTTAACGTGTTCTACACGCATGCTCTCGAGAGTGATAAGGGCAGGTGCACTAAGTACGTATTTCAAACATAAATAACTCTTTAAATTATTGTTTGTTACAGTTTTAGCATTTTTTTCTAGTATTCATGACACGTCGCACTTCGCACGGCTCGCGCTATCGTCTGATAGCACATCTGTTTATATACTGTATATATTACAGTCCGAACTCTTAATCGGTCAAAATTATTTTTAAGTCATTTGGCAACCGTTTTTTTATGTTAGGAGCGGTAGACGAGCAAACGGAGCACCTGATGGAAAGTGACCATCGCCGCCCATGAACGTCTGCAACTCAGGAGTTACAAACGTGTTGCCGGCCTTTTAGGAAGGAGTACACTCTTTTGTTGAAGGTTTGAAGGTCGTATCGGTCCGGAAATACCGCAGACGATAACCCGTTCCACAGATTAGTGGTGCGGGGGCAAAAATTGTCTCAAAAAGCGCACAGTAGTAGAGCGCCAACTACTACTATCAACAGTACTTCTTACTGCTGACTCACCCCTCTATTATTGGTGAATTTTTATTTTCTCTTTTTTTTAAAAGACGTAAGGAATGTGTCTGTGTCACGGGGTACTGTACAAACGAACACCCAGAAGCGGCGGGCGCGTGGCGACCGCTTAAACCACTACACCATCCACGCAGTTATTTGAGTTAGATGGAGTTTTAAGAGTATGATGTTCTTATGACTTATTTTGCCGGTTAAGAGTTATGACTCTAACATATACATTTACGTATAGTTGATTCGGTTTCATTTTTGAGGGGTGATCGAAACATTTTACCGCGGGAGAGCCGTGCTTCGGCACGATTGGGCTGGCTCAACCGGAGTGATATCACGGCCTCACAGAAAACCGATGTTAAGCAGTTCTTTGGTTACCTTTCACTGAGTGAGTGAGATTACCGGAGCCCAAATCCCCCCCCCCCCCCTCGCTGACTCGGCGGCGGTAGTTGCTTACCGTCAGGTCTAAATAAACTAATAAATAACTAACTAACTAATAAACTAGTCAGACTTTCACGAAATACAAACATGAATAATACGATTTATCCGTTATAAATAGGTACATGTTTTAAAGAATCGAATGATATGACGTCACCAGTCACCCATCCCCTTAAATGTTAATAGGCTTATTCCGTTACCCTCGCACCTAACTAGATAGCTGTCATCTCTGAACTTATTCAGGAGGAGCAATGAATTAGTAATGTTACAACGCTACAAGTGAGTAGCAGTGTGACGAATATATTCCAGAGTTTAATGTATTCTAGTCACCTACTCATGCTTATCAGAAATGAATGTCGGCAAGTACGGAATTCGCATACCTAAACGTCTATTGGATATCATTTAGCAATATAAAGAGCTATGCAGAGCTATGCAGCTCTTTATTTTGCTTTTATTTACGATTATTGTAAGGTGCACACAGGTTACATTTGTAATGAATGGGAATAGATGTTTTTTAATTAATTAATATATTCATCATCACATCAACAGATTTAATAGTCCAGTGCTGGACATAGGCCTTTCCTTAGAAAGAAGGGTTTGACCTACTATTAGCCTAGAGGCCTATGTCCAGCGATGACGTAGATACTACCCTAACCAGAAGGGTTGGTATATGTATGTATGTATATGTATAATACAACTTTTGCTACTTCATCAAATTCCAATCTGCTGGTTACACCCAGCGATTCCACTTTTCATAAACGCAAGTGGGCGAATCGCATTAACATCATTAATGAATAGAAAAACGAGACATGCTCCTGCAATCCTACGTAGATTATTGACCAGTAATGTAATGAACTAAATGATATTATTAATTAATGATTGTCGTGGCAAGGAAGTATTGACACGCCAAGTTCAAAGGTTGGCAATCAGATTGACAAAACGTTACTCACCTCTCAAGTGAGTTTGAGATCATTAGGTTGTCTCGGCAGTTATTAACATCAATTACAGCTTATTGCCGATATACTTCTACCTTGTCTAGAAGTTCGTTTCTTCGAATCCTCGAACAAGTAATAAGACATGAAAAAAACGTTATTTTTCTACAGAGAGTGTATTTGCAATACTAGTTAACCTCTCGTATCTAGTGTGTATTGCTATAAAGTAAATTATTTTATATATAACCTACCTATATAAAACCAGTAAACAAAAGTCGAATTCAATAACGACATGGTATATATAATAGCCTATTAGAGTTAAAATATCATTTTTCATAGAGTGAAAGTAAAACGTGTGAGTGAATTTTGTACTTTTACATTTACGGAAGATGTGTAAGGATATCTTATGTATTTAAAACATTACATATTCCACCCTATCTTAATTTATCTTTGTTTTTAAATGATATTATCGGTCAGAATGTCATAGGCCATGGGAGTCTGCGCTTAGTGCAAACTAGTAACAGATACCGATTTATTTTTAAGTTAACGCTTGGAAGGAAATCTTATCTTAATTAAATTAATATAAATCTATTGTATTGAGACTTCCGATCAGAAAGATGTTTTAAAGCTCATATGTAAGATTAAACTTCTTCCTGTTAGGCGCAACTGTTTGCTGAACGTCCGTCGCCGCCCGCGGCGTAGGTACATCGTCGTTCGCGTCCGAGTGGGTTCTCTGGACACGGGCGCTTGGCGTCTGGTATTCGTGATTGTGAATGCTGCTTGAAGTTGAATGTATAATAAATAAATAACAATGTCCGCCTCATTAAAACAAATATCACAAACACCTCGGGAAATATAATTATCCTAGCTTTTTATAACTATTACGAATTTAAATCAAATAAACATTGAAATATATTCTTCAATTGAGTTGTCTAAAATTGTGAGGGTCATGACTTGCTATATAGTACACTTTTCATACGAAATGGTCGTTGGACAGATAATAAAAAGGAATTAATTTGACTAAGATGTGACCCTATTGTTTTGTACTCGAGAAAAATGAACAAAAAAATATTAACATTGCTACTTTTAAAAGAAGAGTTAGATGAACTTCTGATGTAATCGAAAATAACGAATGCACTATTCATAAATCGATATTGACAATATGAAAGAGCATTTTACAACTAAGTTCTCAAACTTCTTCTACGTTCTTCTTGACTTGCAATAACGGAAAGTTTATAGAATGTTCTCGACTTTCTCAGGAACAGTTCGCAAAAGTTTTAATTTTTTTTGAACGTAACACAAAAAGTCAAGTAATAAATATCCGGGACCTATTTCTCCTGCGAAAAATACATTACCTTAATGTGTAAATTATAAAATAAATTATTCCCTGATATTGTGAATGAATTTTCATTTAATTTAAAAAAAAAGTATGTTATTACAATATTTTCAAATCACAAAGTAATATTCCGGTAATTAGGTTAACATAGATTATTAAAATATTTATTAAATTTTATAAATTAGTTGAACTGTCAGAAGAATCTGAGAAAGAAGAAGATGACCAAACAAATTGGTTGTTATTCTTCTTCATTTCTAAATCATTTACCACCTGACAGACTTTTAATCGAGCCTCAGCAACAAGATGTGGTGGGAATTCAGAAACAATATCTGCCATTGCATCAAAAAATTTATGTATGGAAGACTTTTTTGGTGCCGGAGATTTCAATATTTTTTCATGAACACGAGTTCTTTCCTCTTGATTTTGTTTTACTATAGAAGCCGAAGAATTTTCATTGCACTTCCTACGTTTTTTTATTGGTGGGGCCATAGATTCCTCTGTGTTTTTTAAACATTTATTGATTACTTCAGGATCTTGAGCTAAACTCACGTTATCCAAAGACTCTTGAGATATAGTTTCATTTTGCTTGTCAATTTCATGAGGTGTACTTCCACTCGGGGGGTATGTTTTATTTAGCTGGATCTCTATTTCGGTAACAACTTCTGTATTTGTGATACTATTTCTTTGTGATGGAACTTGTGACAGAAAGTTTAATTGCGACATGTATTCCCATGTGCTTTCACTGCTTGCTTGGCCTGCACTTGCTGCTTTCTTTTTTTTCTTGTAATGGTCTCTCAAATGTTTCCACCTTTTCTTCAAATCTGAAACTGTTCAATATTTTATTAAAAAAAATTAAACAACTACTGTCGTATGATTTTCAGCTTGGAAAGCTGCTATTACCGTAACGAATATACTCTATAGTTCCTGAACTATTCAAGATATTGTAAATCTTTTTATTTTGTTTTGAGACTACATCACTTGTCTGATAAATTGAAATTATTTGTATTTGTCATCATCATCATCAACAGCCTATACTAGTCCACTGCTGGACATAGGCCTCTCCTTAGAAAGGAGGTTTTGGCCTACTATACCACGCTGGCCAGACGGGTTGGTATAGGGTTTGTTTCAAGTTTTCCTTCTCTTTGTATTTGTATAGATCAAGAATTACATTATATAATGGCTCTAGTTAATGCAGACAGAAAATTTATTTGTGTTGATATTGGGTCTTACGGAAAAGCAGACAGTGGAATATTTTCAAAATCAATATTAGCAAAAACCATATGGTGGATTTCCTTTTCCTGACAATGCAAGATTACCCGGTATAGATATTTATTTTCCACACTTCGTTATAGAAGATATAACGAAGTGTGGAATACTACTATAGGTTATTTCCTCGACTAATTAAGCCATATTCTGAGGGTCTAAGTGAAGCAGATGTACAAAAACGACAATATAATTATCGACTTAGTCGTGCACGAAGGACTGTCGAAAGTATTCGCTATCACATATTTTTGAAATATTTCATACGCCTATTCCTTTCAACACAGAACCAGTAGACTATTTAATTCTCGCTAGTTGCTGTCTTCGTAATATATGCTCATCTTCTTTACATAGTATGAAGTAGCTTTTTTATTGTACGTATAGATCTTTCGAACTACGCAACCGCTTTTAATGCGGTTTCACCAATAGAAAGTGTAATTGAAGAGGCGGGTTTATATGTTTAAACCCACCTCACCACAACGTCTACTCAGAACAACATAGTCCGAGAGCTGGCACTAATTTTTGGGTAGGCATTTGAGGCAAGCTGAACAACATGTCCATACATACCTCTTCATACCGCTTCTGTTCGATATTCCATCCAGGACAAATAATTGTGGGATGAGTACGATGATTTGTTCTGTCTGGGTGAAATTTGTCTATAATATGTATGTATTTAGAAATATATAAGTATGTTTATCAGCAGTCTGGTTACCATTTTTTTTACGTGTGGAAACCCCCTCGGGCCGTCACCCCACCGGGGTTTTCGACGGGATGGTGTGTCTGAATCGGTGTGCCACTCTTCGCTTGTAATAGGAGGGTCATCACAGGCTCTGCCTAGTTTGGAATCAGGCGGCCGTGTGTGAGATGTGTAAAGTTATTATTATACCCCTACACGGCAGTGTAGACCTCGCTGGTGAGCAGCGGGGCTAAATCAGCCCCTAAATGTTCAAAAATACTTTTTTGCCTAAAATTGTTTGAGGCAATTTGAAATGTTTAATGTTTAGTTAATTTAATGTTTAATGTTTAGTTAATTTAATGTTTAAAGAGTAAAAAAATGAGGCAGACAATTTAGTCGGGTTTTTAACCTTGCCAGACACATACTAGTACAACAATATTTTGCAAAACAATATAGAAAATATATTTGAGGCAGCTTGAAATTTTAACAGGGTGTTATTTATAATAAAAAAAGGATTATAATAAAGACATTATTTTTTGGGACCCTCTGCCTGACAGGTGATCTAAAAAATTATGAATAGGTGCGAGTGAGTAGCGCTATAGGCAAGCTGTAGTGCGAGAGAGCGCGTTTATCGGCAGCTGTCTGCGTTCTCGCTCGCCGCGTTAACATTGGCGTTGGCGAGGTCACGTGACTTACAACAGCCATGCGGTTCTGAGTATGAATTTCGGAGTAAACAACATACATTTTTGTGTATTTGTGTTGAAAACGGTTATTGTGTTGATTTGTGTGTGTTATTGAATGTAACTATTGTGCAATAGATTCTGTAACTGTGTTTCTGAAAGATTGCTGATACTTATAGCTGAGGACTACCTGTTTTAAGTATCAGTCGCTCATCACAAAACAAAACAAAAACAGAAGAAATTCTGTGTCAGTAATTGTAATGTAATAAATAAATTATATTATTATTATTAAATATTTGAATTGGTAAAATAAACACTTACCTGGAATTTTCATTGTTTCACTGATATTTTCCCATACTTTGTGCTTTAAAACATTGTTTTTATAATTTTCATCTGATATATCGAACAATATAGTATTACACCGTACTAAATTAATTAACAATTTGTCATTTTCTTTAGTAAAACTCATTTTAAAGCCAGGACGCTACGGTACGAAAATGATACCGACGGACGCGTGCGACGTGCGACGGCGTCCGCTCGCACTGCCCGCCGCCGGCGACGTTCGTGAGAGAGAACCCAACGCTGAGCATTTCCGTTAGCATTCGTATGCCACTGGCGGCGGAGACACGTCAGTCGTGTCGGTCGATTACGGCGGACGGTCAGAGAACCCTGCGCTTTACTCATGTCGTATTTCTTGCCTTTCATGAGACTGTAATACGTCTACTACCGGCATAAGTCTGACCGTGTGTACAATAGAAAACGATGACCGCGAAGACTTATTGAATGTAAACGAGGTAAGCCGTGTCGGTGAACCTTTATGGCCGAGTCAATTGATGTCAATTGATTGATATCTCTCTCGTTGCTTGATTAACGTGCATTCCTTTCATATTTTTACGCTTTGTTTGTTGTCGTTTGTGAGAGTTACGTAATAAGTATAACGTATTACAGATATTGTTTTTTATATTAGGGATGGAAACGGACCCAGACGGCCCTCCTAGAATAGGGTACTCGAGGTAGGCCGGCTACACCTCTCCTCTCTTTACCTAGAAATAACTGTTATTACTTCCCGTGACAACGTAATATTATATCTATATTTACGTCAGTTTTTTTACTCTATATACTATTGCAATAGCATAGAAGGTTGCATTCGTATAAATCAACCTCTTACGATATCTCTTGAAATATTGATTGATTTATTTTTCAAACTGTCAGTCAGAAAAATAAATGGTCAAAATATAATAAAAGTAGGCTATTTGATAAACGATTTGTCCATACATAACATATGGTCACCACATATTAGAGTGGAGGCCACGGATAGACAGACAGACAAAAGATAGCCTGATGACCTGAGAAAGGTAATAAGCGTTTATTTATACCCTCTGATGCTGAAGACGGAGGACTGGCTGCTATGGCGCACGTGTGAATATGCCTAGATTCAACAGTGGACCGCAATAGGCCTTATTGATTGATTAACCGGTCACCGAAATAACTATTTCCACTTGAAATTATTTCAGAAAGTATGGTCTCTGAAATAATATTTAAAACTATGTAGAAGCTTTTTTAAATGGCAATCAATGTGCTGATAAGCAAATAACCTCACAGCCGACCGAGTGTAAATTAGATATGAATGAAATTGTATTTAAAAATGACTTGTCGATAAGAATTAAATTCCTTTTCACGATAACGTTTACAAAAGACAATAGACATTAAAAGTCGACATTTTTTAATGTAAGTTATGATTAGGTACCTATTTATGACACACGATATTTAGTACCTACATGTTTCTTGTTAACTAATAGCCTCATAAAAACAACGACACTGAACATTATCTTCAGTACTACAGTATATGTAAATCGAAGTAGCAATGGATTTAGATACAAGCAGTAATAACATTTTAAAGATGTTTAACTTCCTTAGTCATAGGAACAGTCCCGAAATCGTATATCCATGTATTAGCAATAAAATCATACTTTTATGAGCTCGTCGTTACTGCCATATAGTTTTTGTGTTATTTTTATTAATTGAAAAAATGTTATAAATACATAGTTTTAAGAAGATTAGAAGTGCAAGTTGAATGTTCACACAAAGATCTAATTGATAGATCAATTAGATCTTTGTGTAATTTTGTAAAACTTTCAATAAGCAAAATCTCTTTACCGTGAGTTCTTTTGTGTATAACTTGAGAAGGGTCAAAGTTGGGTGATAAATTGGTGACTTTGCCTCAATCTGATTTATCAACGCAGAGCTTAAACTGCTGGGGGAACAAACTTGGCGGCAGCTGATGCTTTTTATATTGTTTCTAAGCACCCAATAAGAAAGGATTTTTGGAAATTTTCCTCCTGAGGACGTAAAATAATTGATAAATGGTTGTATGGACGTCCATGTTCGGCGTCCGTGTGGTGACGGATTAAGAACACAGATTGTCACCACCCCTATTCATCCCGTGGGTGTTGTAAGAGTCAACTAAGGGAAAAAACTACGCAGAACAACAACACTGCAGAGAGAAGGAAAACTTGACACAAACCCTTTTTTTTTTTTTTTTGTTTACGTGTGGAAATCCCCTCGGACCGTCACCCCTCCGGGGTTTGCGGCGGGGTGGTGTGTCGGACTCGGACCGACTAAAACCACACGGTGTGCCACTCTGCGCCTGTAACAGGAGGGATCCGGGAACAGCTGCTGTTAAGACATCCGGACCCCTCCTAGCGCCAGCCCGCTCCTGGTGCGGGCTCCGTCTCAATGTGGATGTTCCTCTCTTTAGGCGACGTCCGGCACACGCGGACGCCGCCCCCTCGCGGCTGGCCAACTAATGCGGGTGGAGGGGAAACCCACCCCGTCCACCCGCGGCCACACTCAGGGCGGCATGAGGCTGTGGTAGGCGGGCCTCCGCCGCCCGGTTCGCCGGCGGCGGATCGGGTCCGAGTGGAGGTCGTCCTCCCGGGCCCTCTCCGCCGCCTCCTTCCGCGAGATTACTACCTCGCAGAAGGTTGCGACCGCGGTAAAACAACTGTCGCTACCGGCCATGGAGCGTACTACGGCCGGTAGCGAGAGATCCACTCCGATGACTGCAGTGAGGGCCCGGCGCTGCGCCGCCCATGCGGGGCAGACCGCCAGCGTGTGCTGGGCCGAGTCCTCACTGCAGTCGCAGTGGTGGCAGGCGGGACTCAGTTCCCTCCTAGCGACCGTGTGCAGGTACTTTCCGAAGCAACCATGCCCGGAAAGCACCTGCGTCAGCCGGAAGGAAAGGGTCCCGTGCTGCCGCCCTGCCCACTCGGCGATGACCGGCTGGAGAGCCTCCACGGCGGCGAAGCCAGCGCGTGGAGTCTCCAGCCGGAGCGACCAACGAGCCATCGTGGCTCGGCGAGCGGCTTCGCGCCACTCGCGCACATCCTCGGGCGTAGGGCGAAATTCGCTCTCCGCCCGGAAGTCAGCCACTCGCCGATAAACTTCGGCGAGCACTTCCGCCTCCAAATCCCACGGGGGAGTTCCGGCCAACGCGCATGCCACCTCCGTAGAAACGGTGCGGTAACCGCGTATGGCTCTGACCGCCATTACCCTCTGAGGGCGCCAGAGGCGTACCCTATTCTGGGCGGTCAGAGCCGCCGCCCACACCGGTGCACCGTACAGCGCCATTGACCGGACAACCCCCGTGTACAGCCGTCTTGTCGCGACGCTGGGTCCACCCATATTGGGCAAGAGTCGCCCTAGGGCAGACGCAGCGCCGACCAGCTTTGGAGCAAGCTGTCGGAAGTGCTCGTCGAAGAGCCACCTCCCGTCGAGGATCAGGCCCAGATATTTCATCTGGGCCCGAACCGGTACGAGGACCGAGTTGACCACGATTGAGGCGCCAGGGGGTGGACCACGACGGGGCCCATGAAATAACAGGGCCTCCGTCTTATCTAGGGCCACCCGTAAGCCCAGCGCCTCAATGCGCCCGACCACCAGGGAGACTCCCCCTGTGGCCAGGCGCGCCGCCTCTTGGAAGTTTGCCCCCCGGGCTGTCACGAGGGTATCGTCTGCGTAACAGATTACACCCAGCCCGGGGGGGAAATCGGCGCGAAGGGCCCAGTCGTACCCTATGTTCCACAAGAGGGGTCCAAGAACAGACCCCTGTGGAACACCGCACGACATGGGCCGACACCTCAAATTACCTTCTCGGTCCTCGTACACGACGGTACGCTCCTCTAAATAGTCTGCCACCAGCCGCCTCAGGTACTTTGGCACCCCATGATAGTGGAGTGCTTCCCTGATGCAGCTGAATGGCAGACTATTGAATGCGTTGGCGATGTCCAATGACACCGCCAACAGCACGCCGCCACAGCTCACGGCCTCTTCGGTCACGGCCCTCAGGCGCAACACAGCGTCGACTGTCGAACGCCCCGCCCGAAAACCAAATTGGGCGTCCGACAGATCGGGGCCCACCTCGCAGAGGTGCCGGACGATGCGGGCAGAAAGAACCCTCTCAAACAATTTGCCCGCCTCGTCCAGCAGCACGATGGGCCTATAGGCCGCGACCGAATCGGCAGGCCGTCCCGGCTTCCTCAATAGGACCAGCTTCCCGCTCTTCCAGCACTCAGGGAAGCGTCCCGACGCCAAGCTAGCGTCGAACACCTCCCCGAGGCGGTCTGCCAAGTGGTTGAGGGCCAGGGCCAGCACTCGGGCCGGTACCCCGTCTGGCCCAGGGGCGGTGTTCTTGGAACGGATCCGTAGAACAGCCGCCCCTACCTCCGAATCCCGGACGGGCGGAACATTTTCCTCCCCGTGCTCCCCGTCGTCTCCGGCCAAGGAGGCCATCGCCGGGGGAGTGTGTTCCGCTCGTTGCGGGAAAAGGCCCTCAACCACTTCTCGCAGGAAGCTGGGCTGGAGAGTCTCCGTAAGGGGGGGGCCCGACGCGCGGAGCTTTTGTCGCACCGCGCGGTAAGGGCGACCCCAGGGGTCACGATTAAGACCCTCCAGCATCTCCTGTCTCTTTTCTTCTTTGGCGCGGCTAATGGCCAGCTTCAGAGTTTTCCGCGCCCGTCGGTACTCCTCATGAAGCCGGTCCTCCTCACCGTCTCCACGGTGACGCCGCCGACTGCGCGTGTAGGACCTCCGGGCACTTGTACAGGCCGCACGGAGGTCCGCCAGCTCCTGGGACCACCAGTAGACCTCCTTCCTTGGAGGCCGACGACCTCGAACGCGGGGCATGGCCGCATCGCATACATGCGTAATCGCATCGCGAAAGCGGCCAGCCCCCACGTCGACCTCCTCGGTCGGAGCCTGAGGAGACAGCCACGAGTGAATTATGGCTGCCTCCTCTAGTAGGTCCCGGTTCAGCCTGGCAACAGCCCACCGCGG